CACACACACACACACACACACACACACTGCAGATGCCTTCTGACAGTTACAATGCAGTGGTGAATAGGACTGTTCCCTGAAACATCTAAATACCATCCTGCTGAACTACCTTTGAAATGCATGTCCTGCAGTGACTGAAAACTATCTGTCCCCAAACCATTTATTTAACCCTATAGTTCTCACAGACCTCAGGTAGTTCTCTTTCAGTTAATATGGAAAGCACCAGAAACAAAGCACTGCTTTGTTAAATAAAGTGCATTACAGTGAGTCAGCTCATTTTTATGTTAATATTGTCCTCACTCCTCAATTTACACAGGCAAAATTTATTTCCTCTCAGTTAAATTCTGTTACCACAGTTGTTACAACCAAAATTTCTATGTAACCAAAATGTTACTCAGCCCTAGTCCAATGGAGCACTTATTAGGCAATGTGTTGGGACATAATTTGAACATAAAATTCTATCCATGCACTGTCATCAAATCTTTAAATGCTGATTATCTGTCAAATAGTAACAAGGGAATATTAAGTTTCACTGTGTAAAAGCCTGGAATCACTCCATGTCACTCACTGACAGGAGACTGAGAATATTTGTCAGAGTTATCCAAAGGAAGAGAACCAGTAGGATGTGTAAATATATAGGAAGCGATTTGTTTTAAGGAATTGATTTGTGTGATTGTGAAGGCTTGGTGAGTCCAAAACCTGATAGAGGAGATTGGCAAACTGAAGACGGAGGGAAAAGTTGCAGATCTAGTCCAAGGRTAATCTGCTAGAGAATTCTCTCTTGGTCTGGATGAGATTAGCCTTTTGTTCTATTCAGGCCTTCTGCTGATTAGATGAGGCTCAACAACATATGGAAAGCAATCTTCTTTACTCAAAGTCCACAGATTTAAATATAAACCTCATTTCAAAACACCCTTATGGAAATGGCCAGAAAAATATTTAATCAAGTATTTGGATACCATGGGCTCAACCAAGTTGACATATAAATTTTACCATCATACTGGGTCACAAAAGGCCTTCATCAAACCCTGCTCCTGCCCTGACACTTCACTCTTCTTTATCCTGGGTCCTGTTTATATTTCATTATTATATCATCTTCTCTTTCCACCTTTCAGGTACTTTCCTATCCCTAGTCTATCTTTTGTCCCCTCCAAAAGCCCTCCAGCCTCTAGAAAATGTTAGTCATTTATACTTTAGGTTAAATTGAAAATCGTTCTGTTAGGAGGCTTACCTATCTTTTCACTGTAAGGAAAGTACCTTTGTGGTTTTTTCAAACCCAGTGCCTCATGTGCCACTGAGCCAAAATCCTGACCCTGTGTTTTTGTTTTTTGGGGAAGGGAAGGAAAGTGAGTAACTTACAGAAATCAAAACAAAGAGGGACAACACCAGATTTTGCAGAAGAAGAAATGACCTCCAGGGATCTAGAAAACCAGAGGGTATCTCTTTGGGGTGTCACCATGGCAGTATATATGCTCTGGATATTTCTATCTTCCTCAAGGAGAGTTGAGACTACAGTTTGGGGGAGAGAGCATCTGACTGATGAGTCATGGTTCTGTCCTCACTGCTAGCCAGGGAAGAAAAGGGTTTCTACTCTGACAAGAGTGAATGAATTGGGGGGGTTGTTACCAGAAAAGGAGGGAACAAAAATAATTGTTACYTATCAACTATCACTGCAAGGACTGTTCAGAAGGTGATGCAGAATTAGCTCCACTCTGTTTCTAATAAGACCTTGAATGTCAGAGCAAGGCACAGATGGGCTGCAGAGACACATGGACAATCTGGAACAAGGTCTCCGAGTCCTTCGCCTCCTGCTGGAGGCTAAGCACCTTAAGGACAAGTGCTATACCTGCTTGCAATTTGTTTGGTAGATCCTGCAAGACTGTTAATGTGATTCTATTTAATTTTTACCATTTGGGGGAAGATACAAAGGGCTTCTTACCATGGATAGATAAGAGCATAAGCTGTCACACTGGAACCTCTTCAGCAGGCCTATCTTTACAGGATGATAAACATTCTTGTTGGAGAGATTGAGGACATTCCTGCTTGCAATCTACTTACCTACCTAAAGTCAGACAAACAAACCAGTAGTATAGGTAAATATGTTTGCATTATTCTCTGACCTGAGAGCCAATTGGACTGAGAGCCATGTTTTTTTCTGGATCTGGTGATTCTTTGGGCAAAAATCTCTTAGACTTAACAGTTCAAATTCAAAGTACCAAAAATTTAAGACGCAACCATCAAGCTTATCTAATTATTCCTCTCACTTTACAAATAGGGAAACTAGGACTTGGAATTGGGAAGGGACATTGTAGGTGAGTTCCACATAAGGACAAAGATCTAAGCCTCATGATTATTTCCATTGCCTTCTAGTTCTTTTTGTTGTTGTTATGTGGGGATTGAACCCAGGGCTTCAGGCATCCTAGGYAAACACTTCACCATTGAGCCACATTCCCAACCCACTCTAGTTGTTTTTATAGCTTTTGTAAGTTAATAGATGAGAATTGGACTGGTTTCCCATTCTTCCTGATAACCCCTCTGATTCACCCATTATTTAGTTAATATCTGATCTGTCCAACAAAGTACCATGATTCTCCCATTCAGTGTGAAAGTTTATGAAACTGGAATGAATTCTTCTGTCCCTAGACCATCTTCAGCTCCTCWTTTTAAATCACTAAATGTGCTTAGCTCTCTTAATTTTCTCCTTCTCTTCCTTGTTTTGGGAAAAACAAATCCCCCCCCCTTAATTAACTGTGAGAAATAAAAAATAAATCTTATTGTTCCTTATTGTCCTGTGCAAATATGAAAAGAAATATAAGCTAGCTGGTGCAGTACAGGCATCAGAGAATTCACTCGTATCATCCTCTCGTAGGGTGCTCTTCTGAGATTCCAGTGAAGAAACATTATGGTAGGAAGACAGCCTTGAGGTTAAAAAAAAAAAAAAGTGAATTTAGGGCATATTTTATTCACCACGTAGCCTACAATAAAATAACACTGGGAAATAAATGCCTTTATAAATAAATAGATTTAATCATAAAGTTAACAAATTCATAAAAATAATATCGATTTACTTTCAAATTTGAAGAAAGTASGAGTTTTCCAGGCTTTCCTAAGCTAAATAAAAATGTCAACGTTGACAATTTCCAGGAATTAGGACGACCAGTGCGTCTATAAAGAAAAACCAGGACTCTTCAGAATTAGAATTCAGAACCAATTTCTCACTTGGGACACTGACATTTGAGTGGGCCTGGAAGCCTAAAGTGAAAAGGTCACTAAAAGGAGAACTGTAGTTGGCAAACAGGTAAGCGATTAACAGCATCAGAGGCCTTGCAACAAGTTCAGGCGAACACAGCCAGCACTGAGGAGCTTCGCAAAAGCAACCCGGGAGAGCGCAGCCCAGAGACTGCTCGCTTTCAAGATGGCGTCGCCGAGCCGGCGCGCGCCCAGCGGGGAGGGGCGTCGGGGACTAGGCCGGGGACGCGCGCGGGCTCACGGCGGCTGCGCGCTTGCGTGAGGGCGGGCGGCGGGGACGCGCGCGCGCGCGGCGGGGGCGGGTTCTGTGGAGCACCCAGCTGCAGCCGCGGAGCCGGACGTGTCCGCGAAGATGGCGGGCCGGGTGAGTGCCGGCCGGGAAGCCCCGGCTCGAGTCGGGGGCGCCGGGCTCGCGGGCACTCCGAGGTCCGGGCGGCCCGGGKAGGGGGAATGAAACTGAGCCATGGGGCGCTGGAGGAGCGTGGTACGGAGCAGCGCTTGAGGCGAGAGGGGGGCCGGTGGCAGGGGATTAGTCCTCCTCRGAAACTCCATCTCCTGGAGGGTGACCCTCGTTTCCTCGTCTCCTGCGCCTTCCTTAATCTTCCCTCTTCCTCCCCTGGGCCTCGGTTCCCTGGTCGTCCAGGTAGCCTCCGGCTCTTGTCTCCCAAGCCCCTCCGACTCCGGGCTCTGGGGGTTCCTCCGCACTCCGTGGAGGGCTTATTAGGTGGCGCCGCCAGAATGACTGCGGGGAGTCCGTCTGCTGCAGTGGGGCCAGGGGTGTGGGAAGGATCCCTCAGGAACCACATTCTGGTTCTTCACGAATAAAAGATCGTACGAACGATGGGGTGCGAATGAGTTTTCGGGTTAACCCCTGGCCATCTGGGGGACCTGTCAACTGTGGAGTCAGGCAGGAATGGCATTAGCTTGGAGAGGAGATGGATTTGGGATGTCGCGTTTTGTTTTTATAAATGACAGCCGGTCCTAACACTGCAAGATATGTTATAGTTTGAGGGTTTTAAATTTTACTTCCTCCTTTAGCGTCCAGAATCGCGGTGTAGGATGGGTTTGGTGAGGAAAGATAGGGCCCGTCCAGTGCTGTATTGCAGTTTGCAGAGAGCTAAAAGCTCTCTGAGGGATGGATCCTGCCTAGAGATTACACTGGTCATAAACCTGGGGACATTAACTGCGTCATTAGGGGCTAAGGATGTGCTTGACTGATTCATTTATACCAGAATATTTAAATAAGTTTGCATAAATTTATGCATATAYGCAGATGTCCTGCCTAAAGGGAATTGTAGGTCATGAGATTCTAGAGTCAGAAGAGATCTTAAAGGTCATCTAATTCAGCCTCTTTCACTTCCTTTTCTTCATCACCTCTCCTTTTTTCTAAGGCTGGTCCCTGGACCTGTATTTCAGATTCCATTTTTTCCCTCCTCCCGAACCTTTCTCCTGAATAATCACTTCTTCTTAACCTACTCAGGCTTCTCCTTCCACCTGCACACCAGTCACCTTTTCTTCCTATTTTACAGCTAGAAATTTGGATAGACTCTGTATTTATTGTCTCCCATTTACTTACTACCAGCTCACTTCTCAAAACACTGCATTCTGAATTCTGGCTCTGTCATTCCACTGAAACGTGTCCCTAAACTTAATTGATATTTTTCAATCCTCCTATATGTACTTGGGATTGTTGACCATTGCCTCTTTAATGGAAGACACTCTTTCCATGGCTTCTCTGATGCCTTGTTTCTGTTTTGATTCATACTCTCTCTTGCAGACTCACCCTCCTCTACCCAGTTATTCAATGCTATTATTCCTCAAAGGCCCTCTCCTCACTCTCTGTTTTCTCCTTAGATAATCCCTTCTAGACCCATAGCTACAACTATCTACATGTCAGTGACTCTCAATATTTTATTCCTAGTCTAGACCTGTCCTTTAAGTTCTAAATTAATATGTTAGATTGCCTATTTAAAACTAAGGCCACTGAAATTCAGCTTGCTCAAATCTGAATCCAAGGTCTTAGCCCACCTAACTTGTTATCTTCCTATTTCCTACTTCATTGAATGGTACTGCCATCCATCCAGTTATGTAATCTGCAAAATGGGGGTGGGGAGTGTGGTCCACCTTTTATACCTTTTATCTATATCCTCCTCTGCATTCCCAGTAAAATAATTACTGAATTAATTATGCCTCCCCAACAAAAAAGGTATTTAATTAGGGCCAAAAAATCAGGAGCATTGTTGCTTTAAACCATACCCAACTACTGAAATCACCCCCTGGCCTGGTCACCCATTTTCTATCATTTAACTTCCCAAAACTCTCTCCAATAAGTGCACCTTTCTACATTTTAATTACTACCTTCTTTTCCCAAACTCCTCTCCTTTCTGGTATGGACTACTGCAGGAAGCTCCTGAGTGGTCTCCTTTTGACATTCTGGCTCACTTCCAATTCATTCTCCACATTGATGGTTCCTTTCTGTGCCAATTGGTACTTAAATTCCTCCTCAGTAGCATCCCATTACTTTTGGGAGAAGATCAAATACTTAACAAGGCCTTCAAGGCTCTTTGTGGTTTTCCCCTTGCTTCTTTCCATTCACTTCTTTACTGTCTGTGCTCAGGTTGTATAAACCTTTCAATTCCTTGAACCTACAGTAGTTTCTCTTTTCACAGGTCTTTGCTAGTGCTTTTTCCTTTCTTTATAATGTTCTGCCCTTAACCATTTGCCTCTCACTCAGAGATCACGCAGGGGAAACCTGACCTCACACTGTAAGTTAGGATCTTTTGTTACATACACTTGAAAAACTGTGTTCCTTCCTTAGGGATTTATCTTTCTCATTTAAAATGTATTAGTGTTATTATTTGCCTTGAACAGTAGAATTGACCTTCCATGAGAGTAGAAGAGATTGTGCTGGTCATTTACTCATCATCATCTGTGCTTTGCACACCTCCTGTCACTCAGTAAGCTTTTTTTTTAAGATGAGTTCTCACATTGGGTGTGGTGGCACACACTTGTAATCCCAGCTATTTGTAATCCTAGCGAGGTTGTAAGCACCCTACTGAGAATGTGTCTCAAAATAAAAAAATTAAAGGGCTGGATATGTGGCTCAGTTGTTAAGTGCCCTGTTCAAAACCTGGTATGAGAGAGAGAGAGAGAGAGAGAGAGAGAGAGAGAGATAGGTATCGATTTTCACTATGTTGCCTAGGCTGGTCTTGAACTCCGGGGCTTAAGCCACCCTCTCAGCTCAGCTTCATGAGTGGCTGGGACTTCATCATGATCATCTGCTCAACACATTTTTTTTTTTTTTTAAAGAGAGAGTGAGAGAGGAGAGAGAGAGAGAGAGAGAGGAGAAAGAGAATTTTTAATATTTATTTTTTAGTTCTCGGCGGACACAACATCTTTGTTGGTATGTGGTGCTGAGGATTGAACCCAGGCCGCACGCATGCCAGGCGAGCGCACTACCGCTTGAGCCACATCCCCAGCCCTGCTCAACACATTTTGTTGACCATGAGCCTACTGGAGCCTACTGTCTATTTGCTCAGGTAATAGAGGGTTGTATTAGGCAGCTTTCCATCACTATAAAAAATGCCTGAGATAATTAACTTAACAAGAGAAAAGACTCATTTTTGGCTCACAGTTTCGGCAATTCCAGTCCATGATCCACTGACCCCACTGTTTTGGCCTGTGGTGAGGCAGCACATCATGGCAAGAATGTTGGACAGAGCAAAACTGCTCTCTTCTCCAGCCAGGAAGCAAAGAGAGAGGAGGTCATTTGGGTCCCACATTTCCCTTTAAGAGCGCATCCCCAATAACCTAATGTGATCCCACCTCCTCCAGGTCCACAACATCTCCCAATAGAGCCATCCTGGGGACCAAGCCTTTTAACATGTGGACCTTTGGGGGACATTCAGCATCCAAATTATTGCAATGGTGCGTCACCCTATAGCTAGCCCATTTTASTGCCACACAGCTCTGTACAAAAGGTCTTTTTTACATGGAGTTTCCATGTAACTTTTACACATAGGTATTATTTCTGCTGTTTAAAGCTGCATAGAACTGCATAGAATTTCTTTTCTATATGATAGCTTCTCCAATATTTGAAGACAGGTTCCAGATCCCTTCAGATTTTCAAATATGCAAGTAAACATCTCCAATTTATCACATATCCAGTATTTCAGACCCTTAATCATTTAGGTTATCTTCCTTTGGAAATACTTTTGTCAACCTTTCTTCTAAAAGGTGTCTAMAGTGGTGGAACATGATGATCAGAAAAGAATGTACTTGAACTATTATTTCCTTGATCTGGACACTACCATTATTAATATAGGTTAAAATTGTTTTAGCTTTTTTTCCTGCAATAAATCACACTCTTGGCTCATATATTGTTTGCAAACAAAACTCTAACATTCTTGTGTGTGTGTGCATGTGTGTGTGTGTGTGTGGGGGGTACTGGGGATTGAACCCACTGAGCTATATCCCCACCCCTTTTTATTTTTTATTTTGAAAAGGGGTCTTACTAAATTGCTGGGATTACAGGTATGCACCACTGTGCCTAGCTCTCATGTTTTAAAATAAGCTCTTCCACCCCCATTCTGAGTATTGGGCAATTGTTTTTTTGAACCTAAATGCATGACCTACCCCTTTCTTTTTAGGTCAGGGCATGTCTGCTACTTGTTGAAGGTCTTAATTTCTTCATGTTAGGAACAAAATAGTTTTCTCTTCCAGTTTTGTTTCATCTGTAGGTTTAATAATCTTAATTTCTGTGTCTACATTCAAGTCATTTATAAAGTGTAGAATAAGACAGGGTCAGAAATACCCCTTGAGCTTGCTCTTAGTGATCTCTCCTCATTTGCCTGAGAAATCAATCCTGTAAGGTAGGTAGTATTATCTTTGTTTTACTGAGGCGGAGGAAGGAGGGAGAGGCAGGTTCGTGCGCTAAGTAATTTGTCAAGTTCATGTAATTCTCAAGAAGCAGGATCAGGATTTGAACTCAGGTCAGTTTGACACTGTTTCCTTGTTCACCAAATTAGTTGCAAGGACATAATGAAGACTAGATTTACTTTACCTAGAACTTTTTGGATTTTGATATCAAAATTTAATTTGTAGAATTTACCTTCTATCTTTTGGAAAATCTGAACAATTTTGGCCTATCTCTATCAATTCTTCTGAGAGCCTTAATTTTTTAAGGCTAAACTACTTATTGGTGCTTAAGAGTTCATCTTGCTACAATACTTTTTAAATATTGTCTTTTCATCTGCAATACTCTTAAAATGGACTCTGTATTTCCTTTTTGTGGGAGACAAGATATTTTGAGTTATATTTGGTTATTTTTGGCATTCTGACATTGTCTTGTAAATAGCATTAAAT